GGGCTTAAGTGGAGAGGAAATGTTTTGAGAATGATGAGGGCAATGAATGTACAAATGTGCTTTACACAATTGATGTATGTATGGATTGTGATGAGTGGTATGAGCCCCTAATAAAACGATTAAAAAAAATAGAAGCTAACAACAATGCTGACCAGGAATAAGTTTAAAACATGAATTTATTTTTTACAAGTATATATCAGAAGTATTTTCCTATTTTCTCATTTCTTCCAAGAGAGTAGAAGAGAGCACACAAGCACATGGCTGCTAGCTGGAAGGCTGGTAGTTCGAGTCCACCTCCAAGTACCTTGGAAGAAAGATCTGCTGATGTACCGTACTTCTAAAAATTCACCAGCTGAGAAGCCTATTTAGCATAGCTCTTACTCTGAGAACTGTACGTAGGTCATGTTGAGTCTGAAGAAGCTCAACAACAATTGGTTTGGTTTGATCATCCTAGGAGATTACGATACAATGTAATACATGCCACACCTGCAAGCAAAGCTAATTCTAAATACAGACTACGAGAGCATCAAAAAAATGAAGCATATGATTAAAAGGTTCAAAATCAGGACATATTTTAGGATGGGGAATATATACTGTTAGAATGTACAGGGAAATATATAAACTCATGAATGTAACATTTGACACTACAGGAATACTCACTGTATTTATTGTCATTCGAGCTTCAAAATTGTCCACACAGCTAAGAACCAGGTCAACAGGCTTCCCCTCTTCTAATCCACCATTACTAGGCAAAGAAAACAAGTTTTATTAAAAACAAACAAGGCACAAAATGCATTCTTTGTAGACTTGATTCAGTCCCACGCTTCTTTATTTAAATCTTTTAGTATAATTATTAGAGTATATATTAAATGTGAATAAAGATCCAGTCTATCTCTACTACTGAATAACAACAATAGATACAACATAAATGCAACTATAGTACTCCTTATTTAAGAAGTTCATGTGTGAAGAAGAGTTAATATCCTTCTTCAGACTTGATCTTGCTTCTCTACTAATGTGAATGTAATAAAAACACTGGTTCCTCACTAACACAGAATTATCATATAAGCAAACAATTCTAGTCCTAGGGATACGCCAAAAAGAACTGACAGAAGGAACACAAATCCTTGTACATCAACACTCATTGCAGCATTATTCACAATAGCCAAAGCATGAAATGACCTAGTGCCCATCAACAGATGAATGGGATGAACCAAATGTGTTACATACAAGCGGCTTCAAACCATTTGTGGGAAATGAAATCAAAAGATAACAGAATTTTCCCACACACTTGCTGAAGCGTCCCCACACGTACAATGGATTACTCCTCAGTTACACATGGAGATGTTCTGTTTCATGTCATGGCAAGAGTGACCCTTGAAAGCATGCTGAGCGAAGTCAGTCAGTCACAAAACGACATGCTTTATGACCCATTTGTAGGCACTATCTAGAATAGGAAATGTGGGGCAACAAAGTTTATTCATGGTTCTAAAACGTACAAGGGCATCAGGGTAAGGGTAAGAAGTATCTAGTTTCTGTTAAAAATGAGGAGAAAATTTGTAAACCGTAAGTGGCAATGCTTCATATGATTGACATAAGTAGTCTTTATGAGTTATGCAGGCAAAAAGTTTTAAAATGGCAAATATTATAATTCTTTTAAAAAGCTAGTTGAAAAAAATAACAAAAAGCTAGTTGAATGACATTCATCATTTTTGCCCCTGCATAAAACTGGTTTCATATAGAAACATTATCTACAGAACATTTAATTCAGAATTAAATGTACAACTTACAGGTTTTATTATTGTGCTTTTCCTGACAATATATACTTTTTACTGAATCCCCCCCACTTAGACTTTTTTTCTTATTATTACATTGGGGGTTCTTACAGCTCTTATAACAATCCATTCATCAATTGTATCACTCACATTTGTACATATGTTGCCATTATCATTTTCAAAGCAATTTCTTTCTACTTGAGTCCTTGGTATCAGCTCCTTTTTTCCCTCCCTCCCTCCCACCCTTGTGATCCCTTGAAAAATTATTATTATTTTCATATCTTACACCGTCAGCTGTCCTTTTACCCACATTTCTGTTATTCATCCCCCTGGGGTGGGGCGGGGTGGGTGATGATTATACGTCGATCATTGTGATTGGTTTCCCCTCCTTTCCCCCCTCACTTCCCCCTACCCTCATGGTATCACTACTCCCGTTACTGTTCCTGATTCCTGGATTCCATGGACTGACCTCTCAATACAGAGAAATAACACAAAAATTCTTGTTTTTAGAAGGAATTAGTGTTTTCAGAAAGAAAAATATATCACTCAACCAATGCACTGAATTACTCATCAGTAGACTGTATGATAAGAGTAACTGTTTAGCTGAACTGGACTTGGTACAAAAATCCCTAAGTTAGTATTTTACCTTATTCTATCCATGAAATGTTGAAAGTTTTCCACTGTGGTGATATTATAGTTGTGTACTTCAAAAAGAACATCAGGATTAATATTCCTAAGAGGGAAAAGAGAATGATTATAAAAACTTCTAGTAAGAATGGAATAGTTTAAGCAGGAAATTAAGAGAGAAATAATTAAAAGAGAAAGCAGGAATAGTCCAAAGAGTCAAAGAATAATTAGCAGGTTAAAATAAATAGCTGTTCAACGAAAATCCAATGTTGTCATCTCCTTTTTTTTTGGGGGGGGGGGCTGGGTATAGTGTACTTTATTGATGGTACATGACAAGGTGGAGTTCTCTAAGCCCCTCCCCTTCCTTCAGGGGGTCTGGATGGAATACTCTCAGTGTGTTGGGGAATTGAACTGGGGGCAAATACTCCCCAGCAGCTGAGGGCCTCTCTTCCTCTAGTGCTGTTGCTGGGGCTGGTGGTCCAGAGGTGCTTTTACTCCTTGGAGGCCATGTGGACCATGAGGTCCACCACTCTGTTGCTGTGGCCAAATTCATTGTCATACCAGGAAATGAGCTTGACAAAGTGGTCGTTGAGGGCAATGCCAGCCCCAGCATCAAAGGTGGAAGAGTGGGGGTCACTGTTGAAGTCACAGGAGATAACCTGGTCCTCAGTGTAGCCCAATATGCCCATTAGGGGACCATCGGCCGCCTGCTTCACCACCTTCTTGATGTCATCGTACTTGGCAGCTTTCTCCAGACAGCAGGTGAGATCCACGACGGACACACTGGCAGTGGGGACACGGAAGACCATGCCAGTCAGTTTCCCATTCAGCTCGAGATAACCTTCCCCACAGCCTTGGCAGCACCAGTAGATGCGGGGATGATGTTCTGAGCAGCCCCATGGCCATCACGCCAGAGTTTCCCAGAGGGACCATCCACGGTCTTCCAGGTGGCAGTGATGGCATGGACTGTGGTCATGAGTCCTTCCACGATGCCAAGATTGTCCTGAATGATCTTGGCCAGGGTGGCTAAGCAGTTGGTGGTGCAGGAGGCATTGCTGACAATCTTGAGGGAGTTGTCATACTTCTCGTGGTTCACGTTCATCACAAACATGGGGGCATCGGCAGAAGGGGTAGAGATGATCACCCTTTTGGCACCGCCCTTCAAGTGAGCCCCAGCCTTCTCTACAGTGGTGAAGACACCAGTGGACTCTAAGACATACTCAGCACCGGCCTCAGCCCACTTGATGTTGGCAGGATCTCACTCCTGTAAGATGGAGATGGCCTTCCCATTGACGTTAAGTTTCCCATTCTCAGCCTTGACAGTGCCATTGAACTTGTGGGCGGAATCATACTGGAACATGTAGACCATGTAGTTCAGATCAATGAAGGCGTCATTGATGGCAACAATTTCCACTTTGCCAGAATTGAAAGCAGCCCTGGTGACCAGGCGCCCAAAGCGGCCAAATCCGTTCACGCCGACCTTCACCATCGTGTCTCCGGGATTCGGCTGGACAGGGACGGGAGAGGCAGCTGTCTGTCGCACAAGGAGGAGCAGGAGACTCCTTTTTTTGTTTATGTTTTTCAGTGGTTAATATAAAATCAAACAGAGAGCCTGTATTCATGATATACGAAATTCAAATTTCAGAGGCCACAAATAAAGTGTTATTGCAATACAGCCACAACCATTCATTGATGTAATGTCTACACTGCTTGCACACAACATGGCATAGGTAAAAGGTGACACAAGAGACCATATGGCCTGCAAATCCAAAAATATTTACTAGCTAGCCAAAACTTATTTATCCTATTACTTTCAGGAAAAAAAAAATTACTCCGCTCCCCACTCTACCCTCAACAATTAAGATTGTTTGTACTATGGCCCATAATCCAGGATAAAGTGTAGGTATCTGCTTTTGCAGCTCCCCTGGATCATTCGAGCACCAGGTGGCAGCAGCATCCACTTTGAGAAACACTGATCTGACCAAATGCTAGGCTGAGAAGTTTCCCAAACCATGAGAAATAAGAGAATTCTTTGCAGAATCAAAACCTAACTTTCTATAGAGTAAAAGTTCACACCTATTTCCATATTGCTGCTGCTGTTCAGTGCCCTCAAGTCATCTCCAACTCACAGCAGCCCTGCTACAGCAGAAGGAAAGGCTCCCCGCCCTGTGCGTTCTCACTTCCACAGGGGGAGACAGACAGACACACACACACACACACATACTTCCACAGGGAGAGACAGACAGACAGACAGACACACACACACACACACACACACACAGTTAGATTTCACTTAAGTTACGATTGCACTTACCTCAAAGTATACTCTGCAGCTTGGACTTTACTTAACCCTGCTTGATGAGGTTGGAAGAAAAGTCTGTTCATATTGGCTAATTCCACCTTGTCATAGTCAAAAAGTAGCAGCTAAAATGAAAAGAATGATATTTTGATGGAAAAAAACTGACCATAAAAATAACAAAGACTACACTAGCAAGCTTTAATGGGTTTAGCAACTCAATATTTATAATATTAGTTAACTTTAAGCAGGTCACGTTTTAATTCATTTAATGTTCACAAAACATAAAAGTACAGATAGCATTATTAACTGTCCTTTCAGAAATGAGGCAACCAAGACACTTGACCCAAAGGAATGCAGTGGAAACAAGATTTCCAAAGCCTAGTAGAAAGTTTGCTCAACTGTCACTTGTCAATCATAATTGTGAAAACTCAGAGGGTTGAGATGTAGGTAGTGTTCCCTTGTTTCTGCTGTTAATCTTCAGTGTTTGTCAATCAGGGCACAAACGTCACTGTTCCTCACAGATAAATATGGGTGGTCTACTGCTGAAGACTTCAACAATGGCTCATCCCTTCTTCACACAAGGTACCCGTTAGTAAACTACTGATTTCCCTGGGACGTCATCCCTTAAACTTATCTTAAAGCGTCAACAATGTCATCCTTCTTCCATCCAAGCAGAGCTGCTGTGGTTTCTAACTTGACCAGGTGGATCCACAGCCCAACATGTAATGTATCATCAGGGCTCCTCAGTACGAGTTTATTTCCCCAAAAGTTTTTAATCCATGCACAGCTTTTTCATAATATACTTTTGAAGAATCATTGGATTTTGGTGTCTTGTGTTTTCAATTTTGATAAGTCTAGAAACCATTTTATTTTAAGATTTTGGGGTGTGTGATGGAACCACACAAATGTATTGATAGACAGGCCTTCGGGTCAATATGATTGATGCCTTAGACCAGGGGTCCTCAAACTTTTTAGACAGGGGGCCAGTTCACTGTCCCTCAGACCCATTGGAGGGCTGGACTATAGTTAAAAAAAAACAACAACCTATGAACAAATTCCTATGCACACTGCACATATCTTATTTTGAAGGTAAAGGGGGGGGGGGCAAAAAAACCCGGCGGGCCGGATAAATGTCCTCAGCGAGCAGCATGTGGCCCGCGGCCGTAGTTTGAGGACCCCTGCCTTAGACACATGCACCATAATGACTGCCTGAGAAGTATCAAAAAACCGAGTAAAACAGACACAGAAAAATTACCTGAGATCCCAGAGCATTAAAAGCAGACTGGAGAAACAGATTGAGTACCACATGGAGGGAAGGCAGATCAGGTCAGCACAATCACAGAGCTTCAAGGATGGACCACACCATGCTTGCCCGCTCAGATCAACATAGGCATTTGGAGAGATGATCTAACAATAGCATGGAGTGAGGAGCCCAGAAAGGCAGCCAATAAAGAGAACTAGCTGGTGACAAAGATTCTGTGCCAACAACTCTGGAAACAAGGTGGGCAGGACAGTCAGGGACAAGGCACTCCTGTCAGAGGGAGGCCAGGAGTTGCATAGTTTTAAAGCAAGAAAACCTCAGGGAAGTGTTTCTAGGACAAGTGAAACTGACTGAGTCATCTGAGCTTCAAAGGAGCAAATGTAGACAGGAAATGCACAATTGCAAGGGGAAATACTGGATGAGAAAGAGCTCCAGGCCCTTCGGAGAATGGTTAAGTGAGAGAACTAGGTATTGGTGCAGGGACTGCTTGTCTGTAGAGGTACCAGCTGTTTCTGTGGGAGCCACCAGTGAAAAGACAACCCACAAGAACTAAAGCCTGTCCCCTAGAAATGGTCGCTATGGAAGTAGTCACCTGCTTGCCATCTGCATTAGGGTGTGCCCTGAAACACAGGTGGACTATACCAAAAAGAACATGTCCGGTGCCACCCTAGCCTCTTCTCTGAGATGCAGGGGCCCTAGCTGGTATGGGCAAGCTGGTATAGGCAAGCTTTGCCATAGTCACTACCATTCCCTAATGAACAGATGGCCTATGATGACGGGCCTCACCCAATACCCACTCTCAGAGATGCTGGCTACATGCATTTACCTATGTAAGCCCAGCCATACCTGCCATCCCCATCACCCCCTCCCTGAAACTAGGCTATAGCCATTCAACAACCTGTGGTCAGCACTCACAGTGCCCAACCCAACAACCAGTGAGAATGTTCCTAGCCCCGCGCCTCAACATCTGGCCAGACATAGCTCCTTACCAGCAACACTTGACCCTTACATGAGTTTGAAATACACATGCCCACTTACATATGGATTGTTTCCTATTGCTACTGAAGGGAGCTCAAGATTTTCAACCATCTGCTTAAATTTTAGTGTGCCATTCATCATTTTCATTTGAGCAGTTCATCTCTCCAGTACCTGATAGCCCCCTCACCCTCCTACCCCCACTGACTATAAAGGTGAATTGCTCTCAGAGATAAATAGCATCACATGACATTTTAATTTGATACACCCAACATATGAGGTGTACACAAATAAAACCTGAACTTTTTTTTTTCAAAGCTATGTATCTAAATTTTTTTTTTTACAAAGAAACCTTATCACCTTCAAAGTACTCTCCCTTACACTGAATACATTAGTCAAATCTGCGATTCCATTCTTGCAAACATTTGTCAGACTCATCGGTTTGAATAGCTGACAGCACCTCCTTGGTTTTTTCTTCACCTCTTCTACGTCGTCAAATCAGTCTTTTCAGGTCCTTCTTCATTCACAGAAATAAGTTGTACGGACTGAGGTCAAGGGAATAAGGTGCATGGGGCAAGAGAGGCATGCTGCTTTTTGCTAAAATCTGGCACACTGAGATGGCTGCATGAGTAGGTGCATTGTCGTGGTGGCAAAACCAGTCCCACATCTGCCACAAATCAGGCTTTTTTGGGGTCGCACACTGTTATACAATGTTTTCAGAACCTCTAAACAGAAAGCTCAATTAACAGTCTGCCCTGGTCAAATGAACTCCAAATGCAATATCCCCCCTCATATCAAAAAAACAAACGAGCATCGTCTTGATCTTTGATTTCATTTGATAAGCTTTTTGGGGACGTGGTGACAATGGCATCTTCCACTGGCTTCATTGATGTTTCTTTTCGGAGTCATAAAAATGGCACCATGTCTCCTCCCCAGTTACTGACCTTGGAAAGTAAGCGGGGGTCACTTCAGAGCTGTTCTTTCAAAGTACAGTATGTTTCCACTCATTGCTCTCTTTTGCTGGTCAGTCAGAACTCAAGGCTCTAATTTCCCAGTGCCCCTTCTCATTCCCATATCTTCCGTTAAAACTTAAACTGAGCTCCAAGGTAGTCCAGATTACTTCCCCATCTCTTCAATGGTCTGTCATCAGTCTTCGATCAAAATTGCACAAATTTTGCCAATATTTTTGTCTGTTCGGGAAGTTGACAGACGTCCAGAAAAAGATGTGTCATCAAAATTGACATTTCATCTTTTTTGAAATGAGAAAAACATCCATACACTTAAGTTTTTCCTATAGTGCTATCCTTGTAAGCTGTATTCAACATCACACCAGTTTCTGCAGCATTTTTCCTGAGCAGGAAATAAAATTTCACAACTACATTCTGTTCTCTTAAATCGGCCATCACAAAAATATGAGGTTTGAGTGAAACTGCTTTTATGAAAAAATTCACTGTGACCAGAGAGAACCTTCTCAGGTGATGTCACTGGGTGCACTAACTCAGAGCAAGTTGCTGGATGCTTGCCTAGTGGGAAAAATGTGTACCACAAAAATCCCCCACCCCCGAAGCTTTTTTCCTTTTTTAGAAGGAGTGCGGGGTACCCTCTCATGAGTTCACCACAATAACAGGAAAAAAATCTGTTTATAAAAATACACTCACGCAGTTCAAATCTATGTTGTTCAAATGTAAACCATACACAGACTTTCAACTGAGTAGGATGTCAACCTGGTGGCACAGTGGTTACATACTGGGCTGCTATCTACAAAATCAGCAGTTCAATGCCACTAGCTGCTCCTTAGGACAAAGATGAGGCTTCTTACTCCTGAAAAGAGTTAATAGTCTCAGAAAGCCCAGTCTGTCTTTAAAGGGTCATTATGAGTCAGAATTAACTGGGTGGCAGTGAGTTTTGGGTTCAGGTCTGCACCCCTAAATCCTGAGATGTTCAATGGTCAACTGTATATATAATTGTGGAATGATTATCTATTAAACCATATGTCTCATGACTTTGGCTTTATAAATCTAACATTGGTAGACTGAATGCTACTATGAGAAAGGCTACGTATGCCTACTGTGGAAGTTACACAATCTGGTGTCAACCTATGAAGGGGTGAAGTCATTTGGAGGCACTAGAGATAAATGGCCCACTGGAGGTGGGACACATACACACTCCCTCGGAAGCATTTCTGTTTACAAGACAAATGGAGCTACACTAGAGCCCTGAAGCTGAAGGAGCCACCTGGAGACCCCTGCCAGTGCTGAGATGCTTCCACTGCCACTGGATCCACAAGACTTTCCACCCACTGGCCTGTGATCTTCCTGCATTCGGCGCCATTGCATATGTCGCGTGAGTCTGAAGAGGACTTTCTAGATTGGTATCGGATACATGAGCTAATATCGGACTTATGGACTTGATCTGGACTGGGCTGGAATGTTTTCTCAATATACAATTACTCTTTATATAAAGCTCTTTCTTGTACACACGAGTGTCTACGAATTTTGTTTCTCTAGTCTACCTGGACTAACACACCTACCCACAATCTCTACAAATCTTAGAAAAAAGTAAAAGTATTGGTTTAAAAAAACCTGGAGTATTATCCAGTTCAAATTAAAGAATAAGAGAGGTGTATGCTTTCTCGTCTGCTTACATCTAGCCCGGTTTAGAAAATGTATTTAATGATACACTTGAAAATATTTGTTGAATGGTTCAGTATTTTCATAGACTTTTATGAATTTAAAAGCCTTTTCCCCCTAAGTTGCTATATCTAAAATAAATAGTTTTTTATTACCCTTTGCCCCAACTTTAAAAAAGGGATGTATTTTCTGTTAACTAGCAGTAATATCAGCTTCCATTTGGGTAGAGTTGTAGCTTAGACCATCAGGTAGAAAGATTGATAGGAAAACAAGCAGCATAAAGCAATAAGCCATTAGTAATGAGGGGGGTGAGATTCTAATTTGTACCTGATTTACTTCAGAAGTGAGTGGTTCTCTACAGGACAGGCAAAGAGAAATGTTTTTACCTTACCAATGCCACATCTTGCCAACATTTCAGCAGTCACACTGCCAACTCCACCAACACCTACTATGGCTACAGCAAAGGTACGAATTTTCTGCAAAATACAAAATCATGTAAGCGTTAAAAACTCTTCATCAAATATGTGACCAGAAATCACTGTCATTTACTGTCAATGGCTCCAAAGGTTTATCATACCTCATAATCATTTACAATTCCCATTCGTTTCAAGGCCATCAGACGGCTAAAAACAAAGGAAAAAACGTTAAAGTTTACAACCTTTTAGGTCATAGAGATACAGACATACATGATCACAAAATATAAACTCCAAACCTTAATCATTAATAATTTGGGATGGGAGAAGCAGCTGCCTTTTACCAGATGTAGTTCATACAACCTTAATGGGGTTCTGTCTTAACAGTACATTAAAATCACCAGGGAAGTTTTACAAACATCGATGCTTGATCAACAAGATGTTTTTTGACGTGCCTCAGGTATTGTAGCATCAAGTGTGAGAACTCAATGTTGTGTCTACACAATCAGGGTCAAAGTGAAATTCCAGTATGTTCCCATGCTATCTCAGTATACACAAATATTTAACGTTTAATACTTAATTCTCCACCATCAGAACTCCATTCCCTTGTGCCCTCTGCCCCAAACACATAATGTATATTGGCCTTTAATCTCTTTTATGTTGCTGTTGTGTGGCGCTGTCGAGTCAGTTTTGACTCACAGTGACCCTATGTGTATCAGAAGGAAACTGCCCAAGTCTGCATTATTCTCATAATTATTCTTAACGTTTGAGCCCATTGTTGCAGCCAGTGTGAAACCATCGCAAGGGCCTTCCCCTTTTTTCGATGCTCTCTACCAAGCATGATGTCCTTCTCCAAGGAGTGGTCTCTCCTGATAACATGGCCAAGTTACATGAGATGAAGTCTCACCATCCTTGCCACCAAGGAGCATTTTGGATGTAATTTCTTCAAAGACAGACTTTTTTGTTCTTTTGGCAGTTCACCAACACCATTGTACAAATATATCGATTTTTCTTTGGTTTTCCTTATTCATTGTCCAACTTTCATATGCATTTTATGAGGCAAATGAAAATACCCTGGCAAGGGGAGGCACACTTTAGTCTTCAAAGGCTTTTCAACACTTTAAAATTAGAGGTCTTGTGCAGCAGATTCACTCAATGCAATGCACTGTTTGATCTCTTGATTGCTACGATCATGAGCATATATTTTTGTTTCCTTTACATTGAGTTGTAATCCACATCGAAAGCTGTAATTCTTGATCTTCAACAGTAAGTGCTTTGAGTCTTCCTCAAAGTTGCAAAGTTGTGTCATATGCATATCAAAGTTGTATTACTAAGCCTTCCTCCAAATCTGATGTCTCATTCTTCTTCATTTAATGGTGGTATACATTTTTATACAAGGCTTCAAGTTATTTCAGCCAGTTCAACCATGACTGATGAAGACACGAGAAAAGACCAGAATGTTTAAAAGTCGAATGATCTGGAATGCTAATGGAACAGCAAAACTTGAGTAGCCTTGTTAACATGCAGAATGCATTAGAAAGTGGATTACTGTACATGCAGGTAGGCTAAAATTTAGCACCCTATCATTTAATCTCCCCATGATCCACTTAAATTTGTTCTAGTTTTTAATGTATTCTCAACCTATGGGTCGCAACCCCTTTGGGTCGAACAACCCTTTCACAGGGGTCTCCCGATTCATAACAGTAGCAAAATCAGTTATGAAGTAGCAACAAAGTTAATTTTATGGTTGGGTGGGGGTGGGGTGGTCACCACACATGAGGAACTGTATTAAAGGGTCGGGGCATTAGGAAGGTTGAGAACCGCTGCTCTAGAAGGATAAGACTGTGTCGACCTTACATCCCCCATACCTGGACATAAGAAATGCTCAATAAATGATGGAAAGATTAAGAGGGTTGGAGATGAAAGGGTCTCAAAACGCATTTGCTGAATGAATCATTCAAATATTTACAGCTAACCTTTATTAAATTTCCCACTTACCAGTGAACAGTTTGAGGAGGCAACTGCCATCTCCTATTTAGCAATTTTAACAGTTATGCAACTGTAACATAGTTACAAATGAGTAAGAAAATACCAAATGTTTAGATTTGATTTCTGAAAGTTTTCTTTGTGATTTTTATGTCAAGGAAATGTGTTACTATGAAACAGTATCAGAAGTAACTCGAGATGAACAACCCATGTTCCTTTGCTTTTCGTTCTGAGGGGAAAGTTTGTTAAGTATTTCAAAAAGTTTAAATATTAAAAGGTGTTGAATGGAATAGTTTCCACACAATTCTGATTAGAAATGTCAGCGCATGCTTACTCAATCTTATAAAGCTTAGATCATTTGGGCAACAGTTAACCCTTCATATTGGGCAACAGTTAAAATACTGTCCAGCATAAAGAGTTCCACTGAAGCTTTACCATATCACAAATTAAAACTTCTGATATCAAAACTCTCATGCTTTCTAAAAGGGGTAGGGGTCAGGATCAAAGCATCTCTTTTATTCCACCTATGTTAAAATGATCTGGGTTTTAGCCACACTGATTATTGACTTACTTCATTTTACTGGGTGGCAGTTTATATGTACGTACTCTGGAGTAAAATTTCAGTCCGTGCCTTATCATTTACTACTGGCCTTATGACCTGAGCCAAGTCACTGTAGTTTTCTAAGCTGCAACGGGGGCGAAGATAATAGTATGATTTCATACGGTAGCAGCGTGGAGGAAAAGAGACAAAGAATGAAGAGTACTTAGGCACATAGCAAAAAGTAGACTGGCAATAAAATTGGGTGGAAGGCACACTATATGCGTATGTAGTGACTTTATGTGCCCTCACAACTCTGACTGAGGGAGATACTCCGATATCTCCACTTTACAGCATTGTTGCTGAGGCACTGAAGCAGAGTTAAGGTTTTACCCAGTTACCCAGATTCGAAGAGAGTTGTGATTTGAAACTGGTCAGGCTAGCTCTAAGATCCTTACCCTTAAACACCGCACTGTATGCGGGCAGTTCAATTTAAATTTTCTTAGGAAAGGGGGAAAAAAAGAGGGGTGGGAAGGGCTGACAACGGTGCTTAGGGAGCATTCTAACGTCTCGATTTAAAGCCAGTGTCGCCCCACCCCTCAATACGTCAATTTAAGAAACAGTTTAAAATCCTTTGCAAAACGTTAAAAAATGTATGCACAGGCAATTCTATAGGTGATGTCCACCTTCTGAAAGTTACTACTACCAGTCTTCTGTGGCCCTCGACGGACTCACGGCGGCTAAAGGCGACTGAAAACTGGATACGTGTCCGCAGTAATCGAAAGTGCAGGACCATATGGCTGGCTCACTTGGGTTTTTCTAAAAAAGAGGATGAACAACTTCTGACCAAGAATTGAGACCTGGCTTGACCCGTTCAATAATGGAACCCTGGAGGAGCGAAAAGGGTGATGGAAGACCAAGAGAACCGGATAGCGGGTGGGCGCGCCTCGCCCCGCTCGCCTGCCTCCTCCAGTCCCGGGTGCAGGTCACCTGTAAGGGTTGGAGTCCACCACCTCCGGGCTCATCTTCTCGATGCGGGCGCGGCCGCCTCCTTGGGCCCGCCGACTTCTCTCCTGGGCCAGTTCCACCTCCAGTTCCTGTACCCGCAGCTGCAGCCGCTCCACGGACGCGGCCATGGCTGGGACTCCGGCCGCCAACGCGCCCAGCCCAGGCCTTCTCCGCCGCCGCCGCCCCACGCTGCTCGGCCGGCCGGACCCACGACAGCTTCACCCGGAGGCACGTAGCCTCCGCCTTCAACCAGCGCTCTGGGCGTTCTTCCAGGGCCGCTGGAACCGACACGTCGTCGCCGCTCCGGGGGCCCTCCCACAGTCCCGCTTCCGGTGCGCGGCTGCGCAGGCCTCCCACAGTTCCGCTTCCGGTGCGCTGCTCTCTTTGCTCCCCCGCAACGAAAGCCCAGCCCCTTTCCGCCTTTTTTTTTTTTTTTTTTGCCAGTCCTGCGAAATCAGGACTTAACAAAGCCTGGGGCAAAAGTGTCTACGGTCGGTGGCCTGCAGGATCGACTCTAACTGGGGAGCGAGGAGAAACATCAGGAATGTTTGTTCTAGGACTCCCAACCCCGGACGGGCTCCTTACTGAACGGACCCTACAAATCTTCCGGCTGCAGGTGCATTCATTCCTTTTAGGCCTGGGGCGGCCTCTACGTTCTTACTCGCCTGGAACGATGACTGGGACTTTGGTTTCATGAGAATGGAGACCTCTAACTCTGAAGTGCTCTTTAAATTGTAATCCTAATACACTGGTCATTTCACCAACGAGTGGACGTCACCGAGCTAGCGGGCCTACCGGTTGCTTAGCAACGGCAGCGGCGCCCAGGGTGTTTTGTAATTGGCTGGAGCCGCGAGACTCGTCCCCGCCCCCTCCAGTCGCCGCTCCCAATCCTGCTCCGACTCTCGCCCCGCCCACCGACCCCGCCGCGCCCTCGGCTGTGCAGTGTCGCTCGCGGTCCCGCCTGCCAGGCTGAAAGTTCAGAATATCCAGATCAGTTTCAGGTCTCGGCGGACTTCAGCGGTGGCAGTCATGAAGGCCCCTGCCTCCTCGGAGCCTGAAACGGCCGAGGTGCTGCCCCAGCACAAGTTGGACCTCAGGACCCTGGAGAACTACTTAAGCCAACACTTGCCGGGCTTTGCAGCCGAGCCTGAGACCACGCTGTCAGTTGCTCAATACAGGTATCCAACAGAAACATATCTGCATTGTGCTTTTCTTCCTTTTATCCTGAGCTCCTTAATTCCCCAGTCTAGATTTCTTCTCCGGCTGGGACAGTCCCTCTGCTTTCACACCGTGGTATTACTAATTTCTACGACAGTATTGGAAACCCGTTCACATTAACGATTCCTCTATGTGTAGGAACCTCTAAAAAGGATAGACGTGCATCGAGGGTTCACCGAAGCAATTAAGGCTGGGAAATAAAGAGGCCTTCTCTCAACTTTTGTATCACCATTAGATCTTTGTTTTCTTTGTTTCTAAAAGTCACACTAAGCCTGGAGCTCAGTCCATTCGGATTCTGAGCAACCCTACAGAATTAGCCCCTAGGATGACCATGGCTGTGAATCTTTACCAAAGCAGATTGCCACGTTGTTCTCCCAGAAGGGGCTGGTGAGTTCGAACTGCAGACCTATTTGGTTAGCTGCTGGGTCTTTTATCCACTATGCCACCAAGGCTCTATTTTCTCAGAAGCTGGTGTAATTACGTTAAAAATGATGGTATTCCCAGAGGCTATGAACTGGGGATTCGGATTCTAATCATCGCTCTCTGGCTCAATAAATCACACCACCACTGTGGGGCCCAGATTTTTGTTTTTTGAATGAGAGAATGGAACTGGAGGAGACAACCTTGAGAGTTCTCCTCCATTGTGAATCTGGTTCTTGTTTGATATTTTATCATAGAAAATAAATTAAAAATAAACTTTATTCTAGAAATAAAGTTGATTTCCAAATTTTGATCAGCACAGGCCTATAGAAATAGACATGGTTCCTGAAATCCAAAACTGGACTTGTGACTGGAAGTTGAAATATGTTATGTAAGCTCTTTGGGGATCATTTCTTAATCTGATCCCTGCCCATTTTGATGAGTCTCTTTATGAGTCTCATGACTAATGGAAGTAATGTGAGTGAAAGGGTGTAGATGTTTCCGTTGCACTGTATACAGGGCACTTTTTATTAGACATACCTTGTTTTCTTATGCTTCACAGGTAGTGGGCTTTTCACAAATAGAAGGTCCTGGGCCACTCTCCCCTGTTAAACTCAGTTTATGTGCTCACTTCATGCCTCGTCACATTTTGGTAATTCTACCAGTGTGTCAAATGTTTTCATGATGTTCTTGCACACCTAATAGACTACACTATAATTTAAACATAACTCTTTTGCTGCACCTGGAAACTAAAAACGTGGTGTGACTCGCTTTATTGCACTAGCCAATTCATTGCACTGGTCTAGAACCAAGTCTGAAATGTCACCGAAGTTTGCCAATTTCAGTGAAAATGAAAAATAATAAAGGAGATGGATCAGAGAGCTTGGGGCATGGAATTAAAAGTCACCATGTACCAATAAACATTGGGGGATAAACGGGAGCTGAAAGCAAAGATAACTGAGGCTTCTAGCATAAAGGTCTGTGTGGCAAACAAAACAGATCAAAGTTCAAACTTCAGCTCTTCCACTTGCTGTGGGAATCAGGACAAGTTATTTAATCCTTTGAGCATGCAGCCCTACTTCTGTGAAATGCTGATAGTAATACCCTCTAGAGTTGTTGGACTTGGTTGGTTGTTGGATGGTTAAACACTCTCTGCTGACTGAAAGGTTGGCAAGTATGGTCAAATGAAGGCAGGTGAGGGCTCTCAATACTGCTAAGTCTGTGGCTCTACCTCCACTATTTACCCAAATGGAAACCTCGAAATATTTCCTGAAAAATGGAAATGGAAGATAATGGATTTTTTCCATGAACTTTTTGAAATCCACTTACTTATATTTATATGTGTGTGTGCTTTACCCATCCATAATGTAACTTTTTTCCAATTAATGAAAAATTATTTCTGTATGACAAACAGTTTGAACATGACATTAAGAACAGGAAGGGTATCTAAGCACACTATCACTAAAATACACAGAGAGGTAGGTACATTCTGTGACAGGTATCAGAGTCCAGCTTTGGCTTCCTGGTGCCCAGGCTTCTGTACACACAGAACCCAGTCACTCTCACTTGGTGCTGACATCAATATCCATGGGAAAGCTTCAGCAGCCTGGGGATTTCTAGCCAATCGTCGCCATAAATACTCTTCATGGACTCCCACATCTTTTTCTTCTCTGAATTGACTTGGTGCCATCTTCATTGGCAGTAGATAATCGCTTCCACAGGCTCTTTCTTCTCCTGTTCTTGGAGGACGGAGATCCTGGCCATGTTTTGGTGTCCAGGATTTGAACTGGCAGCCATGTCTGGCTTGACTGTTCGATGCTAGGGGTGCCTTTACCCTCAGCACCAAAGATCTTGTTCACCAGCCAAGAAGGCATGCCACACACCACAAGGTTCTCCAGGTGCTGCTTTGGGACCAGTTGGGGAGGATGTGCTCATCAACAGAGACGTCATCTGCCCTCTCCTGCTGTGTGACTGCTGCAGTTGCTCCCAATATCTTCACTTCTTTCTCCTCCATCTCTGTTTCCAATGCTCTGAAGCTACTGCCACCTTCTCTTGGGGTTAGGATGAACCTACCTCTTCATAGCTAACATTAGACTCCATGGCCTACTAGAACACAAAGAACCCACCATGCAGCTTCTTTTAAAATGTGACCACAATATTAGTGATTGAACACAAAATATGACATGCCATTTTAGTGGAATGAGATGAACTGGATTACAAAAATGTTAGTGGATGTGGAGTGCTTTGTAACTCCTACCAAATGACTGGGTCCAGTCCACTGCCACTGCGTGGATTCCGACTGCTAGAGACCTTGTATAGATAGGGGTTTTAAGGCTGTAAATCTTTATAAGAGCAGAAAGCCTCATCTTTCTCCTGTCAAGCAGCTGTGGATTTGAACCCCCAACATTGTAGTTAGCAGTCCTTCTCCACCAGTGTGAGAAAGACAAGGCATTCTACTCTGCTAAAGAGCTACAGTCTCAGAACTCTGTCCTATGTGGCCACTATGAGTCAGAATTGACTGGATCATAGGTTGGTTTTGAGGGTACTCAAGGACATAGTCTGGTTCTCATGGGCTTGTCTTCATTTTCTTCAGCTTCAGCTAAAACGTGTATATGAGCAAGTAGAATCCAGTTCCAGGTCTGGAATTCTCCCAGTTGGCCTCTGGCCTTGTATTAACTGATGATATTGAGCTTCTCTATCATATCTTCCCACAGATGTAGTCAGTTTGATTTTGTGTTCCATCTGCTGAGGTCCATGTGTATAGTCCGTGTTCATGTTGTTTTAAATAGGTATTTATAGTGGAGAAGTCCTTTCATCCCATGCTAGGTTTGTTTCTAACACCAAGACTATTATTTTCCCATTACTGATCTTTCATCTTGTTTTCAACTTTTACACTCCATTTCCAAATTCCATCAGTAGTTACCAATGTATCTTGATTGCATGTTTGATCAATTTTGTTAGAAGTTGATAGAACTCTTCAACTTCTTCATCATTGACTGTAGTGGTTGGTGCGTAAATTTGATTCTTATTTGTATTAACTGATCTTCCTTGTAGGTATATAGATAATATACTCTCACAGACAGCATTGTTTTTTAGATTTTGAAACGTTCTTTTTGACCACAAATGCAATGGCATATTTCTTGAATTTGTTGTTCCTAGCATGGTGTGGTAGTTACGTAATCTGGTGTCAATTTGGAACTTGAGAGGATTAAGAGTGTAGGGGTGGAGTCTAGTCTGTCAGTTAGATCACAGCCAATGAGGCCTCTGTGTGGGCATGACTTTCTCCTGAGAATTCTGGGAAATCTGATTTTTTCCTCCTTGGAGGCGGGACAGACTCTCTATTCACTCCCTGGAACACACTCTACTGACAAGGCTCACTTCCTGTGAGACATCCCTGAGGAGAAACCAGATGGACCTACCCTGATGCAGCCCTGGAAGCTGGAGAAACCACATGGAGACCCCTGCCAGCACTGAGATGCTTACACCACCCCTGGGTCCACAAGGCTTCCCACCCACTCGCCTGTGATCGTCCCGCACTTGGCATCATTGTATGTGTTTCTTGAGTCTGAAGATAACTTTATATATTGGTATCGGACATAATGGGCTAATATTAGACTTATTGGCTTGGACATTTACCCTTTATGTAAAACTCTTTTTTTATACACATATGAGTTTCTATGGATTTATTTCTCTAGTCTACCTGGAGTAACATAAATGGTAAACCATATGTTTGTCAGATTCAAAATGGCTAATACCAATCCATTTCAGCTAACTAATGCCTACAATATCTGATCCGTATGTATTTCTTGTCTTTGGCTAGGTTCTCTAGAGAACTAAAGCCAATGAAATTTATATATATGTATTGAACTGTGTGTAATATAAGATATATATGTATTACACACATACCAAAAAACCTGGAATTGCACTGGGCAGAGCAGTGCTTTCATAGCAATCATTTTTCCCACTAGGTGAGCACAGAGCCACCTGCTCAGAGTTAGGGCTCCCAGTGGCATCACCTGGGAAGGTTCTCTCTGGTCACAGTGAATTTTTTTGTAAAAGCAGTTTCGCTCTAACCTGGTTTTTGTGATGGCTGATTTAAGAGAACAGCATCTGGCTCTGAAATTTTGTTTCTTGCTCTAGAAAAATGCCACAAAAAACTGTTGTAATATTGAACACAGCTTACAAGGACAGTGCTATGGGAAAAACTCAAGTGCATGAGTGGTTTTCTCATTTCAGAAAAAGGTGAAATGTCGATTGATGACAAACCTCATTCTGGATATCTGTCACTTTCCCAAACAGATGAATAGTGCATTTGGAGTTCATTCCAACTGGTCAGACTTAATCAAGCTTTATATTTAGAGGTTCTGAAAATATTGCTTAACAATGTGTGATCAAAAAAGCCCAATTTGTGGAAGGCAGGGGATTGTTTTTGCCACCAGAACAATACACCTGTTCATGCGGCCATCCTAGTGCACCATTTTTTGGCAAAAAACAGCATGCCTCTCTTGCCTCATGCACCTTACTCACCTTACCTTGCTGC